ATACAGTACAAGAATTTTTTTCTTCTGCTGCCTTTCATTTTGTTTTATTTGTATTGTTTTATTGTGTGAAATGTTTTGTTTGTTTTTAATTAAATTAATAAAAGGGTAATAATTGTTTGAGCGGAAGGTGGAAAGAGAAAGTAATTGTGACTCAACTTAGAATTGGGCATTCTGGGCTTCATAGTTCTCTCTTTAGGAATAAGAAAACATGAGAATGGGGCTTGCAATTATTGCAATCAGATGGAAACAGTGGAGCATGTCTTGTTAAAATGTGATAAATACTCAGAGGAACGTCAGAAAAAAAGAAAAAATTAGGACTGTCTCTGATTAATTTTTTAGTAAATAAATCAAACTATGACAGAAACCACTAGCTTAGGTTTCTAAATAATACTGGGTTAATTAATCGTATTTAGACTATGTGTATGTAAGTGTGTGTATGCCGGTGCATGCTCATACATTCATACATGTATTTATGTGAATTTACACGACACTCATCATTGAAGTGTGTTAAATTCCCTCTGAGATCTGATGACCACACTCCAGTCCAATAGGTGGCGTTAAATACACCTTGTTGGTTGCCAGCCGCCAATAAAATTTAAACGAAGAAGAAGAACGTCACGTTCACGCTCGTCCATTCAGAGCTGTTAAAAGCCGATAGTCCCGCCTCTTTTACAATCTGATTGGACGAACATTTAACGCACCGTCATTTGAATCTTACGGCTGCTGAAGCATCAACTCTGTTAGGAGGATTTAAACACCTCGGGAACAGCGTTCTTCACAGGTATTTTATAATCGCTCTTTAAGTTTAGATAAACAGTTAATGTTACGTTTTAACCCTGGTTTCATCCGGCCGATGGACACACACACACACACACACCCTCATTTAACTGTGAAAGCTGTGTTGTCGAAGGCGTGATGCTCTGCTGTTACATATTTTCATCATCAGGCGTTTTTGATACGGTTAGTTTAGCCATGTCAAATAAAGGTTATCCAAAGGTATCTAAATGATATTCATTGCTCCTTCTGGAAGTTGTTTTGGCAGCAGTGTGTGATCTGCACGAGTGGACAACCTGGTACAGCAATAAATAATATCTGAACAAGTGTAGAGATTTGCAGTTTTCAGATGTTATTATTGATAAGTAGTTTTTAAATTAGTGTTCCAAAACTGAAAAACAAGGGCTTAGACACCAAAAGTTCTCACTGTTTTGATGTATCAGTCCAATGAAGGGGAAAATACATTATTATATAAGCAATAGGACTAAAATTGATAAAAAGATGAGGTGGAAACTCATCAGGGAGGCTGTCATCCTGGTCTGTAGTAATACTTTGGGAGCTGCAGGTTTTGACAAGTACTGGTTGTGTTCTGCGTGTGAATAATCTGTTTTTTTAACAATAGGTGTTAATTAGGTGTCAACGATAGCCATGTGATGTGAGTATCAGTCATATGGAGGCAGTGCTTAAAAGCCTGAATTTTGCCTGAAACTCTCAGACTGAAGAAGTCTCTTGGAGGAGAGACGAAACGTTTCATTAGAGAAGAACCCGTCCAGAYGACCTARACAATTTTTTTRRTTTTMMWTTTTTTTACCTGGATTACTGAGATGCATCAGGACAATAATCAGATTTCTTTATAATATTTCTGGATGATGGGTTAGAGCAGGGGTCTGCAACCTTTACAGCCAAAGAGCCCCTCGGCAAAAAGAGTCTGGAGCCATTAAATGTGCCACTACTATGCTGTGATCCAAAACTGAAGGCTGTAATTAAAACACAAAGTGCATCAGCATAGTATCAGCTTCAAGGTTTGCACACTTATGCAACCAATTTCTTAAGTCTTTTTTTAACATCTTCCCCCACATCTACAGTGTCACAGTAAATGTGTAAAACATTTACAGTTTTGTGGTTTTGGTTTGCTTTTAATGTCACAAAAAACTAGTATTCTGCAGAGTTTTTAAATCCATAGTATTTCCTTATATCTGTACACTGTAAGGTTCATAACGTGCTACAAATTTGGACTATTTTCAGCAAGTCTGTAAACGTCAGCTAAAGAGGTCATCATCAGTTTCAGCTTTTATTTGGATGTGTTGTGTTTGACATGTTTAACACAGTAAAGAACTGAAGGGTTTGTGTTGCTGTCTTTAAGCTTTCCACAGCGAGGCAGTGGCTGCAGTCCTCCTCCTCTCGTGCCGAGCTGACCCGTGCAGCAGAGACTATGCGTCGCACCGGTCCTGCCAGCCGCAGGAAGGCAAGAACTCCTGTTCGTCGCCCTCCTGTGCCGTCCCCACCGTTATCCGGTTCAAAGCCAGGTTGGTGTGAGCGGAACTAAAGGCTCATTTTGTCAAACGTTTTGGGCGTGTGTAGCGTGTCGCAGCCGTGAAAAATGGGACAAATACACATCAAACACACGTTTTCCAAAGTGAAAAGGAGAATATGAAGGTTTAGTGACGCTTCAAAGGAGAGTCGTGATGACAGCCTGATTCTGCTTTTCTAGGAAAGTCTCCTGTGTCTCCCAGGAAAAAACGATTCAGACCAGGAACCAGAGCCTTAATGGAGATCCGTAAGTACCAGAAGAGTACTGATCTTCTGATCAGGAAGGCACCCTTCGCTCGCCTGGTGAGTCAGACAAACAACTCAACCAGTTGTATAAATGTTGAGCTAAACGTTGGTGTGATAGTAGCTGAGCATAATACCCAACACGTACTTCAAACACAATATCTTTACTTAAAAGATTAACAGTTGGCTAGAGCCCTGTTTGTCTGCTAACAAATGATCTTATTATCCACTGGATGGGTTTTTATGAATGTATCAGAAAGTAATCATCGGGTGTCAAATCTGTTGTTGACTTTTTAAAATTGTCAGTTTTATCCACATGTTGAAGTTTAATATGTAACATGACTTAATTTATGTACAGGGTTCCTGCAGATCCTTAAAAAGTCTCTTAAAAGGCATTAAATTAATCAATCCAAAATAAGGCCTTAATTAACCTTAAAATGTCTTAAATTAATCTTTTAGAAGTCTTAAAAATGTTAAACATTGGAAATAGGATGACTGTAATTCATCTCAAATATTAAAATAATTGGTAACATTTATTTTTTTTAAATATTCACATGCTGACATTCCCTTTTGACATCACTTCCTGTTATTTCACGTGCAAATATCTCAACAACTGTCCATCTGTGCAATGGGAAATTTGTTTTCTAATATGTTAATATTGTCTTTGCAAAAATGCATTAACTTTTCTTACAAATTTTGATGTCACGGGCACTTTAGGTTTCATCTACAGCAAATTGGGGTTAAGACCCCACTGTGGGTCCTAAAACTCTAAAATTTGTTCGTTAAACTGACTGCTACAAATGTTTTTGCTATATTTGACGAAAAAGCAGTTGGATATGGATAAAAAAATTTGATCTGTTAGCAAAATATCTGAATACTTTAACCGAAAATACTTTGATTCACGAGTTGCTGCTACAGCTTTTATTTTTTTGTCATTTGTGTTTATTATGAAAGTGGTCTTAAATTTAATGTCATTTGGCATTAAAAAGTCTTAAATTTAGCTTTCTTTAAACTGTAGGAACCCTGTATGTAACTGCAGCGTTTTGCTCAGTAGTTCAGTTTGATGCAAAACAAACTGTGGTTAGTTGTTGCTAAAACAGCTACTGTATATTCTTGCTCTCTGTTTTATCACACATACATATTCAAGAAATGTTAATATTGAAAGGTTTCCTTTCTCAAACAACTCATTTCACCAGCCGCCATTTATACCAGAGTGTTTGAGATTAGCCTGGTCCTTGCCTTCCTACGCAGTTCCACTCAATTCTAGTTTCCTTCACTGCTCTGTCTGAGATTTCACCCATAGACAAGGATTTCTTCAGGAGCATTTCATTCGGGCCAATCAGAGAACAGAACGTCGAGTTTCTGCGCAGTGTCTGCTAGTTAGTTTAGCATACGGCAGTGGAGGAAGTGAATAAAGCCAGTCTGTGTTGATAAGGCTTCCAAATTAAATCAAATTTCTCTGACAAAGCAGCAGCTCTCATTTACAGCCGTCTTGTTCGGCTCGTTACTTCTCTCCTCTCGGTAGGGATGTTTACTGTACAGAGCACGCAATTTCCAGTTAGCTTCTTAGCTTAGCCTCCTTCACAGTGGAGTTGTCACACATATGTCGCGGCAAACCGAGCCAATTAATTTAAACTTCAGCAGAGGCCACGCCTCCAGCAAGAATCCCTTCTCTATAGCCGAGAGTCCAGACCCTCGTATGAAGCAAATTGAAGGACAAGGGTCTGGTTTACCAGGCTAGAATAAGATTATCTTAAGTTGAGAAATGAAGTTTTAACTATTTTCATCAAATCTTCAAAATATGTCACACTCACTGTGATTCCTGCATCATGGTTTAACTCAGTAGCCATTTTTGTGTTTTCTAACGTCAGCTGGTTGTCATCTTAAATTTGGATGCTTTCAAAGGCTAATCGGTTGTAGACATGCATAAAGTGACTATTTCCTGAAAAAATTTGTTTTGGTTGTTTTTAATATTTTGCGAACAGACAGACGCAGACACAGGAAAAATCATGGCCCTCCTGCTTTTGGTAGAGGGTGTTTAAGAAAACAGAGTAACAAGCGAATCTGCTAAATACCAGAAATGTCTGAGTGGATGATGAAAGCTTACAGAGGACAGAAAATACATTTATTTATTTATTATTGCACCCATTATCTTTACCCGCTTCTTTCTTTCTGGATCATGGCTGTCACTGTGCGAGGGGCGGGGCACACCCAGGACCGGTCTCAAGCCCATCACAGGGCCACATATAGAGACAAACAACTATTCACACACTCACAGAGTTACCAATCAGCCTAAAAAGCAGGTTTTGGACTGTGGGAGGAAGCACAAGTAAATTTATTTTCAAAGATGAGGAATTTAATCAACCTATTTTGTTTTTTTGTTTGTTTGTTTGTTTGTTTGTTTTTTTGTTTTTCCCTCTTTCACCTTTTCTTGTTAATAACGGCTGCTCCTCTTGGCTCAGGTTCGTGAGGTGTGCCAGTCTTTTTCCATGAAAGGATACCGATGGCAGGTTTATGCTCTGATGGCCCTGCAGGAGGTAAGCAGCTACATTCTTCAAGAGCAAAATTATCTTTATTGTTAGGATTATTTATTTAATCCTTTCAGGCATACACTCTGTTCCTACCAACCACGGTTATCTTTCTGCCACTGGATAAATACTCAGAAATGTCTGGAATTCACCTTTAACATTTTGGACATTTTAATCTAAACTGGCTGTTTGTATTTAGGGCTCATTCTGACTGCCGAAATTAATACCTTTCAATTTAGTTTCATCAGACCACAGGACGTCTTTATAGTTAAGGGGTCGTTGTCCCTGTGTGCGTTTGTTCCCTTTAATGAAGATTTTTTAGTTGATAGGCCTTAAGTGAATTTGTCAGTAAATAGACAACAACTGTGGCTAAAGATCTTTGTTCTTTCTCATGTGCGTTGTGTTTGTGTGCCTCTCCCCGTGCTCCCAGGCTGCAGAGGCATTTCTCGTCTTGTTATTCTCAGACGCCAACCTTTGTGCCATCCATGCCAAGAGGGTCACCTTATTTCCTCGTGACATTCAGCTGGCCAGGAGACTCCGTGGGGTGGATAACCTGTAAAATCCACATGACAACGGGGAGAATGCCAGCAACAGAAAGAACATTCAGTCACCCAGTACCTCTGTTCCAAGCACTATACTATAAATAATATACTATACCACTGTGTGTGGTTCAAACATTTAGACATGTTTTAATTGTTTTCTTAAAGTGAGAGACATTTGTGGTTCTGGTTGCTTTTATTACTGATACACTTTTATCTGCTAATTTAATTTTGACATGTACATAATGCTTTTAAGTGAAGTATGCTTGTTTTTTTTAATAAAATGTTTTTTTTGTACAATACACTTTTTTATGAAGCAAGTTTATTTTTTTATGTTGTGACTTTGCTGATGTTGTAATTATTTCAAATGAACATTTAAAATAAATTGCAAATATCAGTAGACTTATTGCATTTGGACCTACCACTTCAAACATTTCCACTTCACTGATTAAAATCCATTTTTTAATGAAAGAGCATAAAGATGCAGGTCACAATCAAAACACATAAATCAAATGAGAAAGCTAAGGAAAACAAGGAAAGAATAAAAGTGGCAACAATGTTTGAATTTGTCAGGTGCCATCACTTTGGTTTGGTGAAGAAAATACTATTTAAAAAATCTAAAAGCTGTTCTCAGTCAAAATGAGAACCTCTTGTCATTTTCAGAGTTGTAAAGTAACTAAATACAAATACTTTGTTACTGTACTTAAGTAGAATTTTTGGGTATCTGTACTTTACTTGAGTAATTTATTTTCAGCCTACTTTTTTACTTCTACTCCTTACATTTTCACACAATTATCTGTACTTTCTTATATTTTTTTAAAAAAGGCAAAAAGAAAGTTGTTACTTTTGTTTCATTTTTGCTTGTTTTCATTGCAGCTTATTGTAATAAATAAATACTATCCATATAATATGTGCCTCCTAGATGGAGTTAATTTAATTGTGGTTGAATGAGAAGTATAAATGTGTAAAATTCTGGTTCCGTATTAGTTTGTACACAAACGAGTCATGTCACACTCCAGCAGGATATAATCATTAAAATAAAAGGTATTTGTATTTCATGAATTATAATATTACATTTGGCCGCAGCCCTCAGATTTTCATTTTGGGGAAAAGGTTTGTGCGGCTTTGATATATGTATATAAACTGAAACAGCTGGACTAGTATATCCTTAATTTAACATAAATTAATTATTTTAATACAATAAAGTCATTTCTGCATTTTTTTGGGGAGGTCACCTCCTCATAAATGTCATTACAGAAAATCTAACTGCTCGTTTTAAATCAGTACTTAAACTTTTAATACTTAAGTACAAAAAATTTCAGATACTTTGACTTTTACTCAAGTAATATTCCTAAAGGAGACTTTAACTTTAACCAAAGTATTTTTGTGTAAAATACTTGTACTTTTACTCAAGTATCATTTTGTGGTATTTATACAGCACTGGTCATTTTTGTAAAATGAGAAGAGAAGAACATAAACTCACCAGTAACCTGTGGGGGAAAAAGCTGAGCCCTTCTTTGACTTCACTGTTTAACTGCAACCTGTAGGTGGCAGTAATGAACCCTTCACAGAAACTGAACAGTAAAATCGAGGAAGAAGAAATGGTAAACAAACGTTTACCAATGCGCATGCGCAGCTGCGTTCGGACAGGACCGCTCAGTTCAGTTCCTGGTGGGAAAAACTAGACGACATTTAACCGCTCAGGCTTTGTCCTCTTCTGTTTAGATGGGATTTTGACGTCTTTGAAGTGAGGATGTAACCAGAGACTTCTACAGTCTGCTACTTTGAGACAGAAGCGAAATGTTTTCAACCAACATGGAAACAAAAAGAGTGGAGATCCCCTCCAGCGTACTGGATGATCTGTGCAGGTAAGCATAGCACACACAGTTTTGTTGTTTGGGCAAAACATAGACGTTATTATGTTTAATTTAATCGTATTTTGTCCAACTTTTAACTTAAAATCAAAGCTAGCTAATACTATATGTTATGGCGCAGAATGCTATGTAGTTTCTAGTTCTCATAAATGTAATAAACCCTGTTTATAAGCAAAAGCATCATTTACATGAAGCTGATGTTAGAGCTTTATGTTGAGAGCTTTGTTTGAAGTAAGATTTTAAATAATATTCTGAATTTGACAGGGAGCCAATGGAGAGAAGCTAAAACTGGAGAAATATGATCTCTCCTTCCATCTCATTAAAACTCTAGCAGCAGCATTTTGGATCAACTGAAGGATTTCTACAGAATTTATTTGGATGCCCAGATAATAAAGAATTACAGTAATCCAGCCTAGACGTGATAAATGCATTAATCAGTTTTTCTGCATCCGTTTTGGACAAGATGTTTCTAATTTTAATAATACTACGCAGGTGGAGGAAGGCAGTCCTGGTAACATTTTTAATGTGGGGGTTATAAGACAAAAATAACACCAAGGTGCTTTACATTAGAACTGGAGGCCAGATTAATGCCATCCAGAGGAAGTGAAAGGCTTTAAATCTTATTACTAAAATGTTCAGGTCCAAAAACCACAACCTCTTTCTTATCCGAGTTTAGAAGCAGGGAATTGTGTCATACATTTTTTATGTCTTTAAGACATGCTTGTAGTTTAAGTAACTGGTTGGATTCATCGGGTTTCATAACTAAATAAACACACAACAGATTCCACCATATTGCTGCTTATCACCCTTGCAGCTTGAATAGGATTTAAAAGAGAACAGAGCAGCCTGGTGCTGCTGATTGGATATATTGATTGACTGTTCATATAATCCTCATCTATAAAAGCAGATGTTTTGACAAAACACAAAGGAGGGAAGAACTCATCTGTAGGGTGGAACGATATTAGAAAATGTTGTGATGGCAATAATATTGGTAAATATTGCAATGACGATATCAGGTGTGATATGTCTTTTTTCCTTCTTACCTTTCGAATCTGTACGTCCTATTCCATGTGAACAAGGTCATTTGTGTCTGCTGTGAGCTTTTGCTGCCGTGAGATTCTGTCCTACTGTCTAAATATTGTATTAGCATGGAAAATACAAACTTTTAAACTCTTGAAATAAAGGTCCTTCTCCAAAAATTAGCATATTGTGATAAAGTTCATTATTTTCTGTAATGTACTGATAAACATTAAACTTTCATATATTTTAGGTTCATTGCACACCAACTGAAGTAGTTCAAGCCTTTTATTGTTTTAATATTGATGATTTTGGCAAAAAAGTAAAGAAAAAAGTGATTTCCATCCATGGATGGATGGAAATCACTTTTGTTAACTTGAGGTTCGATTGAATAAAAAGCCTGGTGCATGTACAGTAAACGCTCGTCATAATCGGATTAATTAATTCTGTGCCCATGTAAACAATACATTAGGATTTTTAAAATCTGAATACATTTAAATCCGATCAAAAAATGTTGCAAATGAAAACATAGCAGGCATTGGCCCAATGACTATATGAGGCTGTAGATCAGATAGTTTTCACTCATGGTGCTGAATTTATCTTTGAATTATATTAAAATTAAACATGAAATACAAGCAATTACATTAGACATTTAAATTAGTTTTGAGTACACATTATTTGCACACCATATATAATATGATAATTTAATAATATATGAACAATTTATGAAATGTTCCATAAGTCTTTGCTCCCTGAGCGAATGTCAAACTTTCACCAAGTGCACGGGTTAAAAAACTTGCTGCTAGCATAATCATTAAAAATAATGTCTTTACTTAAAAACGTATTTGTTTTTCATGTATCAAATTACTGCATTAGGCCCACAGCACTCAGATAGATTTTCATTTTGGCCCTCTCGGGGTAAAAAGTTTGGGCACCCCTACATTAAAAAAAAAAAAAATCAAATAGTGTAAGAATACTGCCATACTGCTAAACGGACCGTAATCTAATACAAGTACCATAAAGCAGCTTCTGACTTCTCTTGTTGGTGTGTTTCTGTGTTTCTTCAGCCGGTTCATCCTTCACATCCCCAGTGAGGAGCGGGACAATGCTATCAGAGTGTGCTTCCAGATTGAGCTGGCCCATTGGTTCTACCTGGACTTCTGCATGCAGAACACTCCAGGAGCACCTCACTGCGGGATCAGAGACTTTGCCAAAGCTGATATCCTTACACGTGGCTTATGATAACATTGTTTTAAAGCAATCAGAACGTTAATGTATTGTGATTTATCTGTGCGGAAAATGTATATTTAGCAGTTAGCACTAGAAGCCAAATGGGGCTGGTGCTCATGCTAAATCGTGCTTGTAGACCTAGATTTCCTTGACAGCTGCTAACTTTTCCATCATTGTCCTTTTTTGTTGCCTCACGGAGAAGATGTGCAGAAAGTTCTCGAGCAGTGGAAGGAGTACAAGATGGGTGTACCAACGTATGGTGCAATTATTCTAGACGAGTCACTGGAGAATGTGAGTTTGTGTTGTGTTCAGTTCACGTCTAAAGAAAATTTGCTGTAATTTTTGTTTTATATGCCCAGCTGAGGATAATCAGGCTTTTGTCAATGTTCTTTAGCCAAGTAGGTTTATTGGGCCTCATGCAAGAACATGTTCGTATTCTTATCCTAAATTTCTCTTACTTTTGTTCGTACGAAGGGTTCGTACGAACATGTCACGTCAGATTCAACAAAATCTTCTATCCTCAGGAAAAGTGCGTAAATGAGCTGCGTAAATTACACCTGTTCTATCCAGCTGCTCGTGCACGCGAGAGGAGATTAGCATAATTACCACCCCAAAAACACCATATAAGGCTATGTTTCCTGCCTCAGATACAAGGAAGTGTCCATTCATGAAAATGACAGCGAAAATTAAAAAGAAAAACTTTACGAGTTCAGAGATTGAAGTCCGTCTGTCAGAGATCCAGAAAAGAAAATCTGTCATTTTTAGCAGGTCAGCTGTGGAATAAAAAGAGCTGCTAAAAGTATAAACAACTGTGTTAAATCATTTTCATTTATTCAGAAGCCATGGCGCTGCGCACCGAACCCCCCCCCCACAACACACACACGGTCTCAAGCGGTCTCAGTTGCGGTTCTGAAATATTTTAAAATAACATTTTAAAACGTTTTCAAAATATGTCTGGCACTTTGGAGAAAATCCAGGACTCACTGGAGGGATTATGTATCCCCTCTGGCCTGGGAACGTCTTGAGTCCCCCAGGACGAGCTGGAAGGTGTCACTGGGGAGAGTGGGGTCTCTCTGCTGCTGCTCCCACGACCCAATCATGGATAAGCCAGCCGGACGTAGAATTTATATTGTTAGTCCAAATTATTACATTTAAAATTATAACTCTAATTCAAGCAGAATAGCCTATTGTCAACATAATTATGGAGTGTGATTTATTTTCAACTCAAAATATCTTCAAACTAACGAAATATAAAGTTATTAGGGAGGAAAACCCGTCTGGATAACAGCAGACTGACTGCTCGTAAAATATACGACAGGTCTGGACCACTCGTGAATTTTGTTCGTATCTGAAAAAAATCTTAAGAATACGAAAACATTGGTGAATGCCACAAATTCTCCTAAATCACTCGTACGCACAATTTAAGAACAAATCTGTGCGTACGAACGGTTCTTGCATGAGGCCCAATGATGGTAAATGTTCGGGCTTGGTTTTTAGGTTATGTTTCAGTGAATTTAATTGCTATATTTTGATGCTGCTACTTGGAGACCTTAATATTTTTTTGAGATTGTAATTGTTCTGAAACATTTGAGAATCATTGGGTTAGACTGTAAATAATGAACGATGGTAGCTAGGGAAGTTTGTGTTTGTGCTTTAATTAGAACAACTTTTTTTTAGGTATTACTTGTTCAGGGCTACCTTGCAAAATCTGGCTGGGGCTTTCCAAAAGGGAAAGTGAACGAAGATGAAGCTCCCCATGACTGCGCAGTTCGTGAAGTGAGTAAAATGCCATTTGATATGACCAGCTATATTCTGTATATGGACTGGTGTATTAAGTTCAAGGTCCAACTTGATGAATGTTGTTCAGGTTTTGGAGGAAACAGGCTTTGATATCAAGAATCGCATTTGTAAGGACATGTACATCGAACAGAAGATCACTGACCAGTTGGTGCGGCTCTATATCATACCAGGAGTGTCCAAGGATACAAAGTTTAACCCGAAAACAAGAAAAGAGATCAGAGTAAGAACAGATTTTAATACTTTGGATTTTTTTTATTTCAGTATCTAAGAGGCATGTTTCATAATAATGTATTTTTTTTAGAATATTGAATGGTTTCCTGTTGAGAAGCTGCCCTGTCACCGAAATGACATGACCCCAAAGTCTAAACTTGGACTTGCCCCGAACAGGTTTTTCATGGCCATTCCATTCATGAGGTATGTGCATAAAGAAGTAACATCTACGAATCGTTTCTTTAGTACAGCAAATCCATCTGTATGTTTTAAGGAGACTAAGAAGTGGAGATAAAAATTAAAAACTTCCACAAGTGACTACTGTTGTTTAAAACCACTGAAGTGTTGGGCAGTGTTGGGCGGTATTGATCATTTTCATACAGCGGTATTACCGGGGCGGGGGAGAGACCATCTGTGGTATGTTGAGTCAGTGATATGTAACGGAGAAATGGCTGCTTATGAGCATTTACATGCATGTAACTGGATGTTGTAGAACCAGAGAAAGGTGTGGAAAAAGACTTAGCAGCTCTAATGTGTTGTCAGTTTTCATAGCAGTCTTGTGGAAATTTGGCGCATCACCTTACGTAACAAATACTGTCAGAATTTTTAAATACTGTCACCATATTATTTATTTATTTATTTATTTAACTTTTATTTTATTTATTTTATTTAAAGAGAACAACAAAAAGACACACATGAGGTAGGGCTGCGCGGTATATGCAGTAGACGGTAGAAACGGTATGAAGGTGGCCTACGGTAGAAATTTACGCTGTACCGTCATATCGTCATTACGTCATTACGTCATCGCACCTGTGTCAACAAGGCTGCGAGTTCAGAGACAACTGAGCAGGAGAAGTTCGAAATATAATGAAGAAATTCTAGCATTTTAAAACACGTATAGAGAGAATAAATCCTCAAAATATCCCCCTCTCGCTGTAGAAAAGTTATGTCGTGTAGCAGGATCATAATCACTTCCTCTCCTCTCCTCTCCTCTCCTCTCCTCTCCTCTCCTCTCGCTGCACATCGCGCAGAGCGCTTTAACAACTGTAGTTTTTCCACACCTAATTGTTGGAGAAAAAACTTGTTCTTTTAAGTATTATTACTCACAGAGGTGATTAAAAAAAAGACGTGGACATTCGTTCAGCCATAAATCCATTTTGCTAATGTAAAGTCGGCTTCTGCTCTGATGATGAAGATGATGATGAGCGCGCAGCAGAGCAGCAGCTGATAGCAGGCAGAAGCTCATTGGGCCTCATGCAAGAACATGTTCGTATTC